ACAGAGTCCTCAGGCTGATTCTGAATCTGCACCATGAAAGAATGAAACTTTCCAAGAATCTTTACAGCCTGATTTATGAATTTAGTCTCAGGGAAGCAAATATACACAGGACTAGAGTATAATGACGCTTTTAGAATTACAAGAAGAAAAGTAAATGGGTCACATTTATTTTGCTTCTCTCCCAAATGTTTTAGGACAGAAGCAACGTCTGGCATAGTGACGAAGAGTGATAATAAGCATCATAAATGCTACGTCTATTTGAGAAGACCTCCATCTGGTAGCCTTCCTGCAAATCACTTCCCTAAGGAGGAGACAAGCTTTGCCCTGCCACGAGGGGCTGAGCCCTGCAAGCTCAGGCTGCTGCAGCTGGTGCCCACAGAGGGGAGGGGCAGAGGCCTGCCTCCCAGGGCCCAGGAATGGATGGAAAGGGTTGAGTGCCCTCTCAGTCTCTCTAATTAAAAACTGCCATATGCTTAGGGCAGGCTCACCAATGTGTTTTTTACTACAGGTCTGGGCTGCTTAGCTCATCTGCTTACAAGCAAAGTGCTCTTCAGCATGCTTATTCAAAGTGCAGGTTTATGCTTGGGCCCATTCTGATTCTGTTGTTCTGGGGCCAGGCTGAGCAGGAACCTGCATTTCTAATCAGCACTCCTGGAGGTTCTGAGGAGCCTGGTCCCCGGGCCACACTTTGAGAACCAGTAGCTTAACCCACCCAATATTTTTCCAACTGGGGCCACTGGGTGTGTTCCTGAGAGTTCTACAGAGAGAATTTTTACATTTTGTACCTTTATTTTGATGATAATTTTTCAAATGTTAAGAACATTCTGGATCATTTGGATGACAATTTGATAACCAAACACTAAAGCGCAAGGCTTCCACTGAAGTGTTTACAATCAGGTTGTACTTTTAACTTTGTTACAGGCTGATGAGTCTTTACTCAGATCCAGACGGAATTTGAATGTTCACACCAAAATGAGGCCTGAATGGTATCTTTTCAGGACAGGAAGGAAAGGGAAGAGAAGGAAAGGAGAAGATTTTGACAAAGAACATCAATGTATTGGATTTGGGGCACCTATGGGATGTCCAATCGTCCCTGGGGAAAAGGGTATGGAGCTCAGAAGAGACTTCTCCAAAACCAGCGAGCTGGGAGGTGCTACACAGACGGCGGTGGCTGAAAACAGAAATGAGGGACTGGAGGGAAGGTAGCAAGAGATTGGAAAGGAGGTCAGAGAGTAAGGAGAAACCCAGAAAAGAGAAACTTCAGAGAGATAAGGGAGGAAAAGGTTCTGAGGAAAGAACCATGTCCGTGTGAGTGGGTACTGTCTCTGATTTTACTGTCAAATAAGTTACAAAACAGTCTGTTCACTATGCTCTCACCTGTGCAATAAATTGTGTATGCCTGCATTCTTCAATAAATGTCTGAAAGGAACAAAAACAACAACCAAAGCAAAACAAAAGTCTGGGGTTATCTCTGAGAATTAGCAACAAGAGGAGGGTACAATAGGGGAACCTTAACTTTTTATTTTGCACCATTTTGTACAGTTTAAATTTATTATTATGAACATATTACTTTCTCACTAATATTTTAAGAACTGGTCAGCAGTATGACATTACATTATCTGAGCGGACAAGGAAGCTGAGACTCAAATAAGGCCATTTGGGGAGCAAGAAGGTTGTCATTGGTGACTTTTACCAGAATGGTTTCAGGTAGGAATGTGGAAGCTGACCCAGCCCTAGCCTGAAACGCTGCTTCTCCAGCTTTAATATGCATGTACCAACCGCCTGGGGATCTTCATTAAAATGCAGATTCTGACCCAGTAGGTCTGGGTGGAGTCTGAGATGTCTAACAGGCTTCCTCCCACATGATAACCACATGGCTGGTCCAGCACCACTGTTTTGAGTTGCAAGGTCGTCAGAATACAGGAAATGGGAATGCGAAGAGACCACTATTTCCCCAAAAGTACTCCCTAGAAGACGAACCCCGAGGCATGCTCTAATAAAAAAGATTCACAATCAAATGGTTTGGTAAGTACCACACACCCATCTTGACGGTACTACATTAAGTATTAGTGATTTCCTGAGGAAGTTTGCTGTCTTTTCACTCAGATGCTCCTAACAGTTAGAGCTAACCTTGCAGCAATGAAAACTTATCTTTATTGTCAGATTCTGAAGTTCATAGGGCCACCTGGAAGGTCTGGGGGAAGAGAATTACAGGGCAGCAGGAGCTCAGGGGTGCACAGAGTCGGGAAACTGGAATACGACAAATTGCATTTGGTCTCCAGTACAACAGCAACAGAGGTCTCTGAAAGGCAAGAAATCTCCAAAATAAACCTTGTTAGGGCATGTGCACCAGTCAAGCCTGATGCTCCTTGACAATACCTGCTACGATACTACCAGGTATTTGCTAAACCTTTTTCTAATGACTTATGGACCTTTCTAAAACTTAGCCCCGCATCAACAGCGTGACTCCCAGCCACGGGGATGAGCATTCTTGTGAATACCTGAACTTGAATGTATCTATACCAGTGGCTTCACTGAGCAAGAACAGGAAACACAGAAGCTAACTTGACCTCGCTGCCGAAAGGAGTTCTTCCTGCTTGACATGAGCATAATCCTACTGCCCACTGACAGTGATTAAAATCAACCTGGGGGAGGCTGGGCTGCACTGATCCCCTCACCTGCTGAGATGGAACCTCAGAGCTCAAATAACCTGCTGGTGGCACCGAGTCATCATCTGCCCAGGACCCCCAGTGCTTGGCTGCCCGGGAACGGCCTTGTAGACCAGTGATGGCAAACCTATGACACGCGAACTCATTTTTTGGCTGATTTTTCTTTGTTAAATGGCATTTAAATATATAAAATAAATATCAAAAATAAAAGTCTTTGTTTTACTATGGTTGCAAATATCAAAAAATTTCTATATGTGACATGGCACCAGAGTTAAGTTAGGGTTTTTCAAAATGCTGACATGCCGAGCTCAAAAGGTTCGCCGTCACTGTTGTAGACTCTCTTCATAGGCACCGCACTGAGCAGCACGTTTCAGTGGGAGCCTGGATTTCAAAGGAAGCCTCAGTGCAGAAAAGAGCAGAGGCTATTCACCCTGCATGCCTTCGTCCTTTGAAAAGGCTGCCACCTCTCCTCGCTAACGTCTGAACTTGGCAGCAGAGGTTCAAGCCACATGGGGCAACTTGCACAGGATTAGAATGACACCAGAATTGGCCAAAAAGGATGGCCTGACGCCTGACATTCACATGTGAGGTTTTCCATGGCCTTAGCTCTTCATCGGGTGTCTGGTCACTCAGTCAGTCCCAGCTCCCATACTTGCCTCTCAGATTTACTAGGGAGGGAAACAGGCCCTCAGATTTATTTACTTTTAGGGATAAATATATTTGAACAGCACTGTCACGTGGTGTCTATTTCAGGGACACTAGTTAGGAAAACACATGCCTGTTACAGTCCAGTGACATGCACTCAAGCTGGACTGTGTCAGGATGGCAGGGGACAGCTGGTTGTTCGTGCTAATGCTGTTTTGTGAGGCTCCCATCACAGAGTGGTGGCAAAAGAAGCCAAATTAGTTTTAATAGTCACCTAACAAACGCACATTCCCTCTGTTAACTTTGTTATCAAATATCCTCCCTATCTACACTAAATATATTTTAAACTCACAGGGAAGAGTTATTTGGGAAATCAAGGAGTCACTTCTGTTGGCTCTCACAGGTGCCACGTGACTAAGCCCTCAGCCACCATGCAACCACGTGACTGTTTTACCGCATTCCTCTAGGTTTGCTTTATTATGTCCCTCTAGGTTTCTCCATTCCAATGTGCTAATTTTAAAGAATTTAGAATCCAGTTTCCAACCTATAATGAGAAATATTTTGCACTCTATTCTAATATGAAGCACTTTAATTGCTACTAACATCACTGAAGTCAGTGTATACACAGGAAGAAGGGTGTACCCTCGAAATCATTTATCCCCTAAGGGCAAAATACTTCTAAAGAAACAAAAAGCAGAGGAGATGAGTAGGAGAGGGGGATCATGAAAAATGTTGTGCTTTAGGGTTTGTTTTAAAGTTCTACCTGGGTGTTCTCCACCCAGGAGTGGGGAAGAGGTTCTCTACCTTCACTGGACTGTCCATTAACTAGACTGTCTAGGGCCTAATTTAGTGATCTAATTCTGATTCCTCTGCTGAATTCTATAATGAAATTAGATGTGGTGGATGATTTTGGAAGAATACCCTCAACACATACAATGTCTGGAACATAAAATAATGGCTTCCGCTTTTCCTGCATTTGAAAACTTCCAGATTTCTCAGGGTAAACTATCATGGCCAAGTTAAAAGATTCTAAGTTATACGTGACTTTAAAAATTATTTAGTGGCCTTAGGTCTTGCTTAGGGACAAGAGAGATGCTGGATCCAACTCTGGTCCCTGTCTTCCCTGACTAGCTGGGAAAAAACCTTATCAAGGCCCAAATCCCTTGTTCCTTGGAAAGAGAAAGGCAGGCGGCAGAGATCCACTTGCCCACGTAAGAAACACGCTTGGCTGGCTAAATGGGTGTGCTAATGGGAGGTTCCAGTACCCAGAGGGGCTGTGGCCACTCCCCATCATCCGTGGGGTGGGAAATCGGACATGAGCTGGAGTATAACACAAAGCCAGCCCTTCCTGAGACAGGAGACCCAGCCCTGGGAAGGAAGGAGGGGTGCCCTGGCTCCATTCAGGAGATCTTGGAGGATGCTCATCGCTGAGGAGGCTGGGGTTCAGCCAGCTCAGGGCACTGCTGAGTGAGTGAGGGTCCTGCCACCGAGTCCCAGCTGTGACTCTGAATTCTCTCCTCTCCCCCGCATCTTCCTGGCCTTGTGTTCAGGCTCTGCTCACCTGTTTGACCAACTAGAACATGACTACAGGGTTGAGCCTGAACCATCCTGTGCTGAATACCCCCGAACACCCAGGGAAAGCACAACTCGGACAGGCTGCTTCAACCAGAAAAGCTGCCACTTTACCTTTTTGCTTATTGAAAAACAGCAGAGGGGGCGCGATGCCAGGACCTCGGGGTCCAGGGCTCTCTGTGGCCGCGGGAGTTTCTTTGGAACTCGCTGCCTCTGCAGGTTTCTGCGGCTCCACGGGCTCCTGGGGTGCTGGGGCTCGGTCTCCGGAGGGCAGCTCCTGGCCAGTTCCGGGGACAGCTGAGGGGAACTTAAGGAAGGGGCCCTGCTCGGCCAGGCCCGGCTGGCTGGGCGCGCGCTGCTCGGCCCGGGCCCCCGGCTCCTCCCGGATGGCATCCAGGGCGCCCGGCTTCATCGGGGGCGAGTCCTGCTCCCGCTTGGGGCTCTCCTCCGAGGCCGAGGACGCATCGCACGACTCGATGATGAGCTCACTGTCCAGCTCGGCCTCGCGCTCCTCCCTCAGGATGCTGTACTGGATGGACGGCGAGGCCGGCGAAGGTGGCGGGCCGCCCACGTGGCCGAAGGTCACGTAACCGGAGGTCAGCGCATCCTCAGCGGCCAGCGGGTCCTCGGACACCAGCTCGATCTCTGAGTCCCCTGACTCCGCACTGCTGGCCTCGTGGTCCAAGGGGCTGGGGATGGTGGGCCGCCCGGACCTGGCCTTGACCTCGGGCCTGTCGGCCACATGGCCCGCCGGCTGCGGGCTCTCGGATGTTTCATAGGATAACCCCTTCGCTTCTTTAATGGCAGTGATCAGCTCGTCCTCGGAGATGCTGCCTTTCCCCTGGGATTCTGCAGCAGATGGTTCTGTCGTCCCACAGAGCGAAGGAGAGCGGAAGAGGCGCGCACACACATGGACAGACAGATGGACAGGGAGAAGAAATAAAACAAAGTTTTATTGTTGCTTGAGAAACACATAGCTCATTAGCACAAAAATATCTGTTTCCAGGGCTGTGCTGGAAAGACAGGCCACCTGACCCAAAAGGCTAATGACCGTTAAGGCCCAATTAATCAGGGTTTTACACACCTATCTATCTTAATCTGGCTGTTTAAAAAGTGACCCAGCAACTTCTTAGCAACAGCAGCACCTCGGTAGTTTTTCCTGTTTCCACGTGACCCAGACTCTAGAAGTCATTGTTTCTGATATCTGATTTATTCTCCCAGGGAAGTTTTCCAATGTCACAGATTGCATTAGTTAAGCTGGTGGACACAACCCTTTAATTTGGCCCACCGATATCAACAGATCTGAAAACCACCCAGGATTCCTTGTCCACTGTAGTTTGTGTTCCCTTCTTGAAGCAAACAAAGAAAGCTGAGTGGGATCCTGGGGTACAACTTGATCTCTGAGCTTTATATTTCCCATAAGAAACAATCATTTACTCTTTTTTAGTAAAAACTGTAACTAGGTGAAGCCCTATAAGAGAGAGATTTTGCCCATTCCACAGAGCACAATCCCACTGGGCTTCGGAGGGTGGAGCCCACCTCTGTTCTTCGCCCTCTCTTCACCTCCTGATGAGAAGCACAAAACCCGAGAGTACCCCAGCCCCCTGGTATGAATGCCTGGCTTCTACCCGGTGTCTATCCAGATGGGCCGAAAACCTCACTGGCAATCTTGCCTATTTCTCTGTCCCTTCGGTGAGACTACCTGGGATCACCATGACAATAGTTTTCAGGAAATTGGTTTTCTCTTGCCCTAGAGCAGGATTTTCAGAATATTTTAGACAGTGGTCTGTGGCCCTTCTGGGAGCAAGAACTACTTGGGAATGATGGCTAAGGGGTAATGGATTTTTTTTGGGGGGGTGGGGTAACAAAAATGCTCTAGATTTATTATGGTGATAGATACACAATTCTGTGAATATACGAAAAGCTATTAAAATGTAAATGGGCGTATTTATGTTATGTGGATTATATCTCAATATAATAAAAGGGTAATATGCAAATTGACCCTAACAGCAGAACCACTGGGAATGACTGGTCACTATGACACACACTGACCACCAGGGGCCAGAAGCTTAATGCAGGAGATGGCCCCTGGTGGTCAGTGCACTCCCACAGGGGGAGCTCTGCTCAGCCACAAGCCAGGCTGACGGCTGCCAGCACAGCGGTGGTGGCGGGAGTCTCTCCTGCCTCCTCAGCAGCGCTAAGGATGTCCAACTGCAGCTTAGGCCTGCTCCCTGCTGGCAAGTGGACATCCCCCGAGGGCTCCCGGGCTGCCAGAGGGATGTCTGACTGCCAGCTTAGGCATGATCCCCTGGGATCGGGCCTAAGCCAGCAGGTGGACATTCCCCGAGGGATCCCAGACTGAGAGAGGTCACAGGCCGGGCTGAGGGACTCCCCCGACTGCACAAATTTTTGTGCACCGGGCCTCTAGTATCTCAATAAAAAGAGATGGAAGGAGGCTTTTCCCCTGAATTAGCACTTATAGGAGAACTGCCTGACCTGTATTAGATTGTACTATAAGTGAGAAGTAACTTTATTTATGTTAAGCCACTGATTTGGGAATTTATCTGAATCTAAATGAATGCACCCCTTTAGTCTGGATTCTGCTCTAACTGCTTGCCTAAATTCACTGATCACGTTCAGATCATTTTTGAGTTCTGACCCATTAAGAGGATACTGCAATCCTTGAGGGAGGAATTATGACAACCTAATGAGTTGTGGTGGCCATAGGGATAGAAAAGACAGGACAATTCAAGAAACACTGAAGAGAGAAAAACCACAGACTCAGTGTCTGACTCATGTGGCGGGTGAGAAAAAAATGGGGTGTCAGAGGTCACTCAGAAATGGTGAACCTGGGCCAGTAAAATGAACAGGAATTACATACCCAGAAACACGAAGTCAGTGAGCTGTTTTGATGGGACAGAGGGAGAAAATTCTGATCTTAGACCTCTTCCCTTCCTGTGGCTCATACTAGTCCAGTGTCTCCCATTGGAAACCTCTGTCTGACCATCTAACCTGCAGGGCTGACCAAACTCCAGCTTGTTCAACATTCCTAAGAGGTAAGCAGGGCCTTGGGTTACAAATGGCCTTGCAGGGCAGCTCATCCTGGGTGCAAGCCAGCCTGGGAATGGGTCCTTCAGGAAACAGGTTTGTGCTGGCTCATCCTGCACAACCGGAAGCCCTGGGTGGTTTGTATTTGTGTGATGATTTGATTAATGTCCGTCTCTTCACCCTCCCCCAATCTCCCTGACCCCAAAATGAAAGCACCCACTGAGGGCAAAGGGCAGCCAAGGTATTTTTGTTCAAAATCAGATCTCCAGCACCTAGTGCAGTGCCTGGCACTCAGAAAGTACTGATAAATAGAGCTCATTTGAGGACTAGCTCAAATCTTTAGAACACTGGTTCTTAATTAGGTGTAAGGCTCAAAACTGCCTCAGAAATTCTGACTTGTAGAAGGAAGTCTGGGTGGGGCCCCCACATCTGCCTTTTGTAACCACTCACTACAATAGTGATTCCAGTAGTCACCTCCAGTTAGGGTTGGCAGATTTCGCAAACAAAAATGCAAGACACCCAGTTAAATTTGAATATCAGCTAAAAAATGACTTTTTATTAATATAAGTGTGTCCCATAAAATTTGAATTTTTATTTGGCAACCCTACCTACCTCCAATTGAAAACCATGTGTTAGAGCATTCAGAAAAGAAGGCTCAAGGATCTTGCTTCATTTACTCAAGAGTTGTTTTTTTTTTTGATTGTTTAAGGTATTACAAATAGTAATACATATGTCTCTTTTTTTCCCATTCCCCCCTGCCTCCCTCCTTCCTCCCCCACCCCCGCCCCCGCACGTGCCCTCCCCTCCTGCCCCCAGTATCTTGCATCTATTGGTTATGCTTATATCAGTGGTTCTCAACCTGTGGGTCGAGACCCCTTTGGGGGTCAAATGACCCTTTCACAGGGGTCGCCTAAGACCATTGGAAAACACATATATAATTACATATTGTTTTGTGATTCATCACTATGCCTTAATTATGTTCAATTTGTAACAATGAAACGGGGTCACCACAACATGAGGAACTGTATTAAAGGGTCGCGGCATTAGGAAGGTTGAGAACCACTGGCTTATATGCATGTATACAAGTCCTTCGGTTGATCTCTTACTCAAGAGTAAGGATGTTATTAGACAACTGTGGGGTGTGGGAGGAAGGGGCCTGATGGGTTTCATCTTGGGCAAGTAAAGGTACTACTTTTTAAAAAATTCATCCTTCTTATGAGTCAAAAGGAACTAAATAGATCGTGTAGACATTGCCCTCCATTCTTTTTTTTAAAATATATTTTTATCGATTAAAGAGAGAGAGAAACATCAATGACCAGAATCAAATCTCGACCTTCTGATTCACAGGTTGATGCTCAACCACTGAGCCATGCAGGCTGGGCTGCCCTCCATTTTTAATGGGAACTAAAATCTAACAAAGTGCTGGGAGGAACCTGGGAAAATTTTAGACCAAAAGAGTTTTCCTACTCATTTAAAACCTTATGGGAGTTTAGCTAAGATACTAGTTGTTATGTGTCAAGACTAACACAGCAAAGCTGGAAACAGTCAATAAAAATAAAATAGAATCGAGAAACTGAGGAGGTTAGAACCACCCTACTTGGGAAGATGTGTTTGCGGCCACTGCTAATAAGGATGATATGATTAAGAAGGATAAAAGGAAACATGAACATGGCCAGTTTACCAAGTTGCAGTTGCCAGTGTCCAACTGTGAATGATGCTGCCATTCCGGTGTCCCCTTCGCTGCTGGCTGACTCTCCCCTCATCACTCAGAGGGATCCCCTGAAAATATGAATCTAATCCTGCCGCTCTCTCCTTCCTTCTCCCCACTCCAGTGACAGTGACTTTCCAGTGCAACTTGAACACACAGGACATTCCCAGCTGCAGCGTCTTCACTGGCTGTCCTTCTTCAGCTATCTACCTGGCTTGCTCCCTCATCCCATTCAGGTCTCTGCTCAAAGCCACCAGCAAAGCGAAGCCTTTCCTCACCTCCCCACCTCCTCATCCCCTTCTTACACTGTATCTTGTTTTATTTTTCTTCATAACCATTGTAACTACCTAATGTTATATTATATATTCATTTACTTGTGTGTAAGTCTTCCCAACTAGAACGCAAGCTACATGCAGGCAGCAATCTTGTGATTCATCATAGACCCCCACTGCTGATGGTACAATGCCCGGAGTAAATGGTTAATGTATATTTGTGGAATGAATGATGGTACTTCCCAGCTTAAACCCTCCGATGGTTTCCCATTGCATCTGGAACAACATCCAAATTCCTTATCCTAGTACATGAAGCCTTGAATAATCTAGGCCCTGCCTACCTTTCCAACTCAGTTGTATTACATACTTCTTCCTTACTCCTTTACACTGTCTTCCACAATTCAGCCTTGGGGCCTGTGCATTTGCTATCCTCTGTTCCTGGGCCCCTCTCTTTGAATTGTGGGGTCCTTCTCCTCATTCAGATCTCAGATCACATGTCGCATTCTCAGAGAGGCCATCCCTGACCCTTCACACCCAACACTCTATCACTCTTTATAGCACTCACACTCCATAAACATTACCTATTTATGTGTTTCTTTTTATTGTCTCCTCTCACTAGCAGGTAAACTCCATGAGCATAGGGACTTCATAAATCTTGTACTGCAATGTATCTGGTGTCTCGCACATGTCTGACATAGAGAAGTCACTCAATAAGTATTTTTTAAATAAAAGAATGAATTTTGAAAATGAGTAGGAGAATCACAGACCTCATCAATGCAAGAAAATAGCAACACTAATTTTCAAAGAGTTAAAATTAAAATTGGCCCTGGCCAGTTTTGCTCACTGGATAGAGTGTTGCGGCCAGAGGACTGAAGGGTTCCGGGTTTGATTCCGGGCAAGGGCACGTGCCTCAGTTGCAGGCTCAATCCCCAGCCGTGGCCAGGGTGCATGCAGGAGGCACCCGATCGATTTGTCTTTCTCACATAGATGTTTCATGTTTCTTTCTCTCTGTCTCTCCCTCTCCCTTCCACTCTCTCTAAAAATCAATGGAAAAATATCCTTAGGTGAGGATTAACAAAGAAAAGAAAATTAAATTAAAATTGATTTACCGTTTATTGCTCCTTTCTTTTTAAGGGAAGCTGGGTGCTTTAATGATGACCTCTGGATTATTGGCCTTTCTGAGGCTAACACCTCAAAGAAAATCCATAACCACCAAAACAAGCTCTAGGTGTGTGTGTCAGAAACAATATGGTGCCCATGGGTCAATGGGCTGGTGCACCAGGGAAATTATGATTTATCTGAAATGCCTCACTTGTACTTTTGACTGATATTTGCTGAGAAGAAACTTTCAATATTTAAAAATAAAAGAATGTTTGCCTCTGTACCTCAGTGTATAATTATTTAGCAAGATGAAAACAGTTATGTTGGAGGAAGTTACAAAAGGAAATAGTACTGGAATTGAAGAAAATATATTAGACTCCTAGCTTAAGCTTCAGGGTCTGTGACTACAATTGTTCTAAATTAGAATTTCTCCTGATTCATGATTCACATAATTAGAAATATTCCCCAGAATTGGTGATTTTCTTATTTATTACACAATGATAAACAGAACATTTTTTGTTTAGAATGTTTTCCTTTCCCTCAATTTCTATGTAGGATCTTATGTAATTCTTGGTATTTGCCTTATCTGTTGGCACTGGAAATGGCAGAGTGACCCAAGACCCAACAGATGTAATAAAGCCCAAATTGTCCAGTGTCTATGGGTAGAGTGTCATATGATGTCAGGGACTCACAAGTTGAGAAGGGGGTTAGGCTAAACTTTTGGGATAAAAAGAATAAGGAGAAAGGTCTTAATGACAAGCTGATTCCTTCTATCTCTTCTATTAATTTTATTCCTACCTGTTGTTTTATGACTCAGGTATTATGATGTAGAGGATGGGTGAAGAGAGGAGCTGAACATGGGAGAGAGCTGTGTAATGAGATAAGGGACTTTCTCTTTCTTGAATAAACTTTGCTCAGGATGTTTATTTGGAGAAACTACAGAGAAAAACATTGCCCTAACCCCATGCCGTCAACTGGGCAACTCAAGATCATAAAACTCTAAGGTCATGTGAGCCATATCTGTTTTCGTTTTCTCTTGAAGTTTCTCCAGATGGTTATTAAAAAATGAAAATTCCATAATAATAATTAATGAACCCTAATCAAGTCTTTATCATCAACTTTGTAAACTTCAATTTGTACATGAGGCATGTGCCATGTAAGTGGACTTATATGCGCTGGGGTATTTCACTCTTCCTAAAGACTGGCTGAAGTTCTTCTAGACTGACCACCAAGCAACCCTGGAGCTCTGTAAAAGACAGCTAGTAATGTAGCTTCCATCTTCAGAGCATCCATATCTTTATCTCATGGAATAGGATTGTACGGTGCATTGCCAGAAAGACTACAAGGAGGTTTTGAGACCCAGCTATGTCCCTATCTCGTGTTGTAGGCTGGGACAACTCACATCTAATACAGTTGGGGCCTCAGCTTCCTTATTTGTCATCACAACCAAATCTTAATTTATATTTTATGGAAAATTCACTGTACCCTCATACCTCCTGTCCTTGTACCTTCTCAGATTAGAAGGCCGCCCCTCCCCTTCACCTGTTTATTTCCTCCTGCTCTTTTAAGAGTCACTGCAGGTGCCAGTTCACCTGGGGAGCTGTTGGACCCTGCTGCTCCTCAACACTCCATGTTTTCCTCTCTCAGAATACAAATCACACCAGAGTCTATTTTCTTGGTCAATTGCCCCACTAGAGGGCAGGAACCGATTTATGTTTGTTTTTTAAAATTCTGTCATCAGTACTTAGTAGAGTGACTGACTAAAAGAACATGTGTGCAAAGTGTTTGTTGAGTGAGTGAATAAATTTGAAAATCAGGGACTTGGCGCAGTGGATTTTTTGATATTTGCAACCATAGTAAAACAAAGACTTATATTTTTGATATTTATTTTATATATTTAAATGCCATTTAACAAAGAAAAAGGATAGCAGGGACTTCCATTAAGTCCACTTCGTTCTAACGCTTGGACTTACTGCAATATCAGGATGTAGAGCAATCATTCCTAATCCTGCAGTTTTGGATTCGTTTTAAGAGTTCACTGGAAGCTCATTCATCTAAGGTGCTGAAAATCACTTTTTATAAATCACTTTTTAGGTTTGTAAATCACTTTTGGGTAGGGTCAGAATGCCAGCCACTAGAAACAGGGAAAGATTCAAGGCCCTCAAACTGTCCTCTTCATCCTGATGCCTCATGGGCATTCACACACAAGATGGAGATGCACATGGGATGGAAATGCATATAGGATGGGAGATGCACGGGGTGAGGTGGGGGAGCTCCTGCTACCACTCTGGCCTTTTCCAGGTAGAGGAGTCCCCCTTTGTACTGAGAGTATGTATTAAGTGTGGTTTTAACATCCTGCCTGAGCCAGAGTAAACAAATATTCAAGTTGAATAAAATCCCAACCTAGGGGATTTCAAACTTTTAAAAATTCTATCCACTTCAGACCAGGGTTTGATTCTGGTCAAGAGCATATGCCTAGGTTGTGGGCTCAGTCCCCAGTGAGGGGCGTGCAGGAGGCAGCCAATCAATGATTCCCTCTCATCATTGATGTTTCTATCTCTCTTTCTTTCTCTTCTTTAGGATAAACAGAGCGGCAGTTTATCCTACTGAAATCAATAAAAATATTTTTAAAAAATTATATTCAAATAAATCCTTTAGTTAAAAAAAAATTGTATGCAGATCTTCAATACATTAAAAGATAAAAATGACAGTACTGAGATTTAAGGGGGAGGAGAGAAGTACTCTTTGGTAGGTTACCTCTCATTGTCCATGACCCTCCAAAAGAGTGAGGCTCACTCCCCATTCATTGTACAGACTTGGAGCTGGGACCCTGCCCAAGATAACCCAGCTGATCTCAGGGGAACAGCCAAGATGCTCACCACATGATGCCTCCAGGATTGTCCGTGAGGAAAGCTGCCCTAGAAGTAGGTGGTACCTCCCTCTCTGCTCTGAACGGCAGACCCACATGAGGATTTAATGTTCCCAGTGTGTCATTCTTTCCCCTCAATAGAAGAAAGAAACATTACAAAGCAAATCTGATAGGACTTTAACAACTCAAATCTCAGCCTTTGTACGTGGGCACAAGACTGGAAAAGTTGTATGTTAATTAAATAAGTAAAGTTGAGACTTGACTGCAATTCTTGATTCCTTAATATTCAGATTTCCATGTGCTGGGTCTTCCCAAGGTAGGGAATAAAATTTCCTTACCTGTTCCGAAAGACGGAGGAGTGATGGATTCTGGGCTGTCATCTTCAGGCTCTGAGACGGTGACAGTAGGGACTGTGTCAGGACTCGGTTTCAGACAGATATCTTGCTTCTCGGGGGTCTTCTCTTGGGTAGCAGTTTCCACAGAAGGCTCAATTTCAGTCAGCGTGATTTTGATGGGGGCAGTGACCAGGGAGGCTCTATGGTGCTCTTCAGAGAGATCATCTATATAAGGAGCAAATGTTGATTCTTCAAATAAATGGTCCTTGAGGATTTTTCCCTCCACAGGAGCTGCTTTCTCTGGTTCACGGGCCTTTTCAGATTTTATTGAGATTTCAGTGTCCTTATTCTTAAAGTCAAAGTCTTTCTCTTCCAACTTGGGGTGACGTTGCCCCTGATAGCTCACCTCCTCGGGCCTGGTTATGTCAATGTACTTGTAAGCTTCTGCTTTCATCTGGTCCAGGGGGTCTGCTAAGATCTTGTTCACTTCGGTGGACTCTGCAGGAGTCATCTCTATTCCAGAATCAGAACTAAATAAGCCGTGAGGCTCCGTCCCAGGCACGTCTGGTAAGGAGGGCCCAGAGGTACTCAGCTCCTCAGGGCTCTCTGTTGTGGTGATGTGGCCATTTTCTTTCTGAAGAATTCCAGTGAAATATGTGGAATCCTCCTGAGGTGGGTAACAGATGTCGGAAATCAGAGATGTGTAGCACGCTCCTTCCCCATCCTTTGATGCTGTTGAAAAGGGATGATCCATGGCTCGGGAGACATCTGCCACACCTAGGAACCAAAACAGCAGCAGACAGTGAGTGGGCGCTGGGCTGCAATCTTCTCTCCTGCCTAACCCACCACCCACCCCTGCCCTGTGGAGACACAGCATCCTGTCTCCTCCACGCCTCGGGGTTCCCTCTCAGCACCAGCACGTTCATTTCTCTTGTCTCCCTGATAGCCCCCAGCACCGGTGTGTCCCCTGCAGCTGACTACAGAGGCTCACACAGCTGCCATGGCCAGAGAAGTTGGGGACAGATCCCAGAGGACTAGAAAGTTGCTTTTCAACATCAACTACCTCAATACACAGTGACTTGGTCTTACTTAGTATTATTCGACAGAAGCCCTCTTTGTATCTAAAGCATTTATGACCCTTTAAGCTGAGGTGGAAATGTAGGCTAATTCAGGTCTGAAAGGGCAACAATGGGATAGTCGACTGGGGAGAGGGGCTGCTGTTGGACTCAGAGCTGGAAGAGGCCCCAGGAGACCCCCTCGTTCACCCCTTTCCTTTAGGGACTCCTGTCCCACCTGGATGCGTGCCATCCCTTCTCTTTTTAAAGGTCCTCAGAGAAAGGGACTCCTAGTTTTCTGATGGGCTCATCCCAAAGTGGTATCACCTTGATGGTGCTCTTCCTTATTTCTTCAGTTTTCTCATTTGGTTTCACTCTCATTCACTCATCTACTGCCCATTCTTCGCCTTCCAGTGATACTCACAACGCCCCCCCGGGGATTTCTTAGTTCCACTGGTGGTGCTAAGGACAAGACAGGTTTCCAAGTTGGAGTCTATAGAATGTTTTCACCTGCCCTTCATTCTACTCATAAACCAGCCAAAAGTTCATTAGTAGGCAGAAGAGAAAAACCCTCTATTAATTTTCTTGGCTGTGAAAAGTGATAAGAAAGGAAGAAAACTAATAATGTTTACTGAGGTGTTGCTATATGCTAAGCAGTTGGATTTTACCTAATGCTTACAACTATTTTATAAATTAAGCCCCACACTCTCAACATACAAGCACATCACACACACACACACACACACACACACACACACACACACAGAGACAAACACACACAGCTCTCAAAACACACGCAAAGAATATTCCAGATTAGGGCACCAACTCATAAAAGTAATAAAAGTAGTAGCTGTAATAAAATAGTAATAGCTAATATTTGAGTGTTTGCTGTGTGCCAGACATAATTCCAAGCTTTTAATTAATATTGACTCATTTAATAATCATAGCCATCTTAGGAGATTGGTACTATTAGCTTCATTTCACAGATGAGGAAACTGAGGAACAGAGAGGCTACGTACCTCACCTAAGATCGCACAGGTAGAAAGCAACACAGCCAGGACTCAAACCCCAGCAGTCTAGAAGTCAGGAAACTTCCCCTCATGCCCTGTGCACCTTCTTAAAATCAGTTTTTGACATTTATTTTTTTCCAGTAATTTTGAATCTAGTACTAGCATTATCACAAGTAAACTTAACTTTTGCATTTTCCTAGCTGTTTTCTTGGTTATACGAGTCATTGTTTGTCTAAGGCAGTGGTTCTCAACCTTCCTAATGCCGTGACCCTTTAATACAGTTCCTCATGTTGTGGTGACCCCCAACCATAAAATTATTTTCGTTGCTACTTCATAACTGTAATTTTGCTACTGTTAGGAATTGTAATGTAAATATCTAATATGCAGAATGTATTTTCATTGTTACAAATTGAACATAATAAAGCATAGTGATTAATCACAAAAACAATATGTAATTATATATGTGTTTTCCGATGGTCTTAGGCGACCCCTATGAAAGGGTCATTCAACCCCCAAAGAGGTTGCGACCCACAGGTTGAGAACCGCTGGTCTAAGAGGAATGAAAAAAGCACAAAGCCTCTTTTCCATTCTAGCACTTTCCTGCCTCAGCACCTTGGTACTTGCTGATTTCTTTGCGTGGACCTCTCTCCCCCCAGATACCTGCATACCTAACCCCCTCATGCTGATCTTTGTCCAAGTCACCTTCATAAGGGAGATGACAATGTCCACTACCTACAACCTGTCCTGCCTTCTCCACTCCGTGGCAATCCTGTTCCCTCCTACCCTTCTCTACTTTTTCTTCCTGTATCATTTGTCTCCTCCTAATATACTATATAACTAACTTATTTACCTATTACTTATGTATTGATTGTCTCTCCTTGCTAGGCATGCTCCATGAAGGCAGGAATCTTTGACTATTCTGTTTCACAGAATAGTTCAACACCTACACACACTAGGTACTCAATAAATATTTGTGAAATTTAAAAAGTGTGAATTTTAGAATTAAGCACAAGTAACAGGATTGTGTGAGAAGACAGGTTGGCAGATTCCCCCAAATCCTAAGGATACTCACTTCACTCAGCAAGTGGCTTAATCTTGTAACCAGTTCAAAAGTGTACATTTCAGGGAAGCTTCTAATTGTACTTCCTTTGCACATGGCAGCCCCTTTTCAGTTTGGACCAAAAATAGCTCAGTAGCAAAAGGAATAATATTAATGATGAGCCTTATTGGCACCATATATAGACCACCAATGAAAAAGCTAATAAATTTAAATTCATGTGTGCACACACATCTTTATCCTAAAGAATTTTAAAAGCTTCTTTCATTATATGGGCTCAGCCTACATGTAGACCTCACTAGAGATAGGGAAATCAATCCTGAGATATTTCTTTTAAAAAAATATATTTTTATTGATTTAGAGAGGAAGGGAGAGGGAGAGAGAGAGAAACATCAATGATGAGAGAGAATCATTGATTGGCTGCCTCCTGCATGTCCCCCACTGGGGATCGAGCCCACAACCCCAGCATGTGCCCTTGACCAGAATCAAACCCGGGACCCTTTGGTCCGCAGGCTGACACTCTATCCACTGAGCAAAACCAGCTAGGGCAATCCTGAGATATTTCATTACAGACATTTGGATCCTGGGATTCTCTACCCCAATTATCTGGAACCACTTCCACAGGTTAATAAGTAATTGTGCACCAGGAAGTAAGGAGGGTTTGCCCATGGATATACATTGTCTGGAGGTGTAGGGGTGGGGAAGGGGATGCTTTCCTGATAAATGCACAGTAGGAGGTATCCAGGGCTGCTCACGATCATTATCATTCACCTCTCACTCCATACTTCTATTGCAGAGGCCACCACCAGGCTCCTGGCTCTTATCACCTATACCTGGCATAGTGCATAGCCCTCCAGCCCAACGTCTCCTGACACTAGTTATCACACTAAGCACAACTCAGCGACTGGCCCCAGGGTTCTGCCTTGCTTCACCAGATAATTCATAAACTCTGCAGCCATCTGGTCTCACAACTCTGTCTCCGCTGGTCTTCACAATCTCACACTCCACCAGCTTTTCAAATCCTGTCTTTCACTCTCCAATTCAAACTCGAAGCTCTGATTAATATAAACTCACCATCACTTCTCTAACACTTTATCCTTCCAATCTTTACACCAAAATCTCTGACCTCAAACCATAAAGTTAAGCAGCTTTAAATGCCCCTCCTCCATGATGAATTTGCTGATCACACCTGTCAGCACTTGACCCCTTCCTATTGTTCCCCTCTTCTTTCCTACAGCACCTAACTATACTGAGCATGTGGAATGTATGACATATGACTTCTCTATGTCCAAGTTATCTCCTAGTAACCTGTCAGCTCCTGGAGTTTGATGCCCATGGTTTGCTCACTATATTGTATAGTAGGCACCCAATACAAAATGAATGAATGAATGAATGAATGAATGAATGATCACTCACTCAATCAATCAATAAATCAATCTGTTAACTTAAAAACATTCAAACCTGTAAAGAATTTTTGTGAGTTTATTTGAGCTAAACTGTCAACAATTGCCGGGAAGCAGAATCTCAATATATTGGGATAATGCTCCGGAGAATGGTGTTTTTTCACCTTGTTTTATACATTACAATTAAAGAAGGAGATGTAAGTGGGTTACATGAAATCCATTGGTGATAGATTAGGGAGGCGGGAGAAAGCAAAGCGGGCATGGGGTGGGGTGGGGGGAGTGGTTGGAAGGGAACCTCTGGGATTGGATAAAAAGTGAAATGATAGACACATGCTTCTTTTACTTAGATGGGTACAGGATAGTTAACAGGCAACACTTAACATGGTAACAATAACAATGAAGAAATTTATGGTCTCAGTCCTGGCGCACAGGCGCATTTGGTTGTGCCCTGAGAGGTCCGGAAAAAGGGAAGTTACAAGTTACCTTGACATTTCACAGGTATGTTATCTTAGATGCAAAAAGACAATAGGTGCAGTTAAAAGTTGACCTTTGTCAGGGAAGATATGGCTTAGGATATGACTACTCACTATAAACTACTTTTAGTTAAAGTTTTAATTTCAGACCATCCTCTGTGGTTACTTTAGGTCTTTGAGTTTGCAAGACTGCAGGCCTTCCCTGAGCTTGTCAGGTTAGCAGGTGGCCCCTTTTTTCATTCACAAATTGATCAATCAATATATTCTATGCAGCTACTGAGAACAAACTAAGACTAATTGATACAAGTTACAAAGAGGATGTGTATCAAGTGAAAGAACAATCTAGAAAATCGAGTTATCCAACAATGGGACAGGCTGCATCTCAGAAACAAGAGTGCCCTGATCCTGGGGCAATCAAATAGAGGGGCCCAGCGTCTGTGTAGGCAGGAACCAGCATTTGGTGAGAAGTTGGATGAAACAACCATGGAAGTCCCTTCCAACTTTCTATGATGTATGTACTGATTGGCTGCCACTGTAGTTGGACACGACTTCCTTTATTGCTTCCTTACTTGTAAAACAGAATCAATATCATTTTCCCTGAGGTGAAAATTATATAGGGACTTCCCAGACGTATGGTAACAATTGAGGGCATAGAATCTAGCGTACACCTACATTAAAGGAGAGATTATAAACAGAATCAACTTGGGAGGAATTTCCACCCCTGAAATTCATATCCTACTACCTCTGTCTTGACCAGAGCACCCAGCATAAAACTGAAA